TAATCTGTTGCTAGAAATGACCTTTTTGTTCTGGTGTTTTTAGAAATGTTGTGCTGTTGCGCAATTTATGTAGATTACATGCTTGTTCATTATGATATGAAATGGCTGGTGTTTACTTTTTAGATATATAAGAACAGAAGCTGTGCATGAAGGAGTTGAGTGAGGGAAAACTTCACAGGCACCCCTTATTTGAGTTGTGTAATGCCACACTAATTGTTAAGGCATGGCTCTTTAACTACTGAAGAAATGCAAAGCTCTCCCAATTAGTCCCCACATGACACTTCAAGCTCTCTGTTCTGTCAGTTACAAGCATAATCAAGAGGTTTGGATATTGACATGTGAATGGTAATTATTCTCTTTTCTTTTTTGCTTTCACACTCTGAGGAACACCACGAATTACAATACACTGCTCTAGTTTTTCGTGTCTGGAGTGCTGGTAGAGTGCTGGTTTTCAGGGTTCTCCCGGATCTTGGATGATTAAAGGACTCCCAAAGCAGAGATCCTGCACACAGTCCCAGTAGGTTCACAATCATAATTCTGCCCTTGTTGGGTGAGAACTTGCTGGGTGAAAGAATGGCTTTCACCAACATGAAACTGAAATGTATAATTTAGCTCAAGAGGGCAAGGCATCATACCAGTGATTATTCTGTTGCTTAATTCTGGCACATAATGTAACAATATCAGTGCATGAAAATATTCATGAATGTCACGTTAGAGGAGGGTTATTATTAGAAAAGGCTATTTCTACTGAAAATAAAGCATTCTTTAAAAAAGACCAAGAATGGCCAGAATATTTGAATGCCACCTGTAGTGGACAGTGAATCTACTTCTGTCCAGTGCGATGCATTGAAGATCATACAAGACAACACACGTATTTATAAAAATGTGCATATGTGAAGGAAGCAAATAATTGCACCATTGCGTATTTTGGTTTTTGTTGTTGGAACAATGGACTTTTACTCCTTTTACAATCCCTCTGTCAGTAAGTGGAGAACAGTGTAGCCTGTGAAAATGATAACATCTGTGTTCTTTAAAAATCTGTGTATAATACAACGTTTTTATCTAGTGGGTTGTATTCTCCTTTTGCCTTGCTGTTTCAATTGATTTTTCCCTGCTAAAGGATGTTAGTTTTGGTACCTGAGAGATGCCTCCATTTCTCAGGAACTGTTGGCATTTTGTTCCAGGTTGTGGAAATGCCGTTGGTTAATTTAGAGCAATGGACCCATCTCACTCTGCAAAGCCTTGACTCCAGGTTATCTTATTTTTTGCTGTGCAGTGACCTGAAGAACTAAGGGACCATCTACTGCGTCCTGAGTTGTAGAAGCCTTTCTGGCCCTTATATTTAAATATTGATCATAAGACTTAAAGGCATTATCTCTGACATCCTTTACTCTGCACTGTCTATGGACTGTTGTGCTGGCTCAGCCAGTATTGTTCCAATATCATTGTTTAATGTTTCAAAACATCCCTTACTGTATAATTCAGAAAGCTATCTGTTTAATTAGAATCCTTTCAGAATCCGATGCCAGTTTTAATTGGATTGGGTGACTCAAGTTTTTTTTATGAATATAAACCCTTTTCACACCTCTGTTGCGAACATTAGACAGGGAAGGTTGTGTAACTCTCGAGAATCAATGTAAAATAAGCTCAAATTTGAGAAACGTAGGGAAAAAAACGTGTTATGGCAAACTAGTGCAGTGACCCCTGGAAAAAGCCTTCTCTATCAATTGTTATATCTGTTTAGCTTCAGAACAGAGCTTTGAATGAGCTTTGTAAGCAGTTTTGTATTTAAGGAGTAAGATGTGAACAGTACTTGCAACACACAATGTACAAATGGCATTGTCTTTTCAATGCACCTCTTAGCCAACAATACTGTTGAATGCACTCTTCTGCGTCAGCTTAATATTCTCATTCTCCACGGCCTCTTCTTTTGCCTGTAGTCAGCAGAGTGCCACTTAATGGCATTTTTTATGCAGCCTTCTCAGGCATGCTAAGACATCCAGCATCCAGTGATGGTGCTACTATGCCCAGCGCTCTGTAGTCTGGATTGCAGTAGTATCCCATTGTATTGCACTGAATCCTCACCCATTCAGGGTTTCCCATGAAGCTAAATTAGATACCTGACCTTGTGACATATCAGGCTCTATTACACACATACTACAAGGGCAAAGAGGTGCAGCTACTGAATGTGAAGTCTGCATTTCCTACTTACTCCTTCCTCAGCTTTGTTTTACTCTAAAATGTTCATGAATTGTGTATTACTCTTACAGGATGTGGCCAAACTTGCTAGTTTGCAAGTAAATAAAACTTTACGAACCCCATAAAATATTTAAAGGATTGAAGACTATTGTTATTGATTCATTTAAGCTGCTCACCCTTAATGTTAACCCTTAACCCTGTTTCACCCACCAAACCACAGTTTCGTGTGTTTCTGTAGACCGATGCAAAAAGCTGTTTACATCAAAAACATATGCCCCCTGCAATACAATCAAACTATTCATTTTCAGACATACATTCCAAATTGATTTTCCAGGTTCTCAGCAAAGTAGAAACCAGCAATGAATGCATACATGAGTTTTAATACAGGATACAGCTTTGTTGTTGCTGTCTGTACTTGGCATTAATTAGCTGAGAAGCTGAATGCTTTTCTTTTATGAAAACAGACTTTAAAGTTGGTTGTTTTTGACAAGCATTAGAGGTTATTAAAAGCCTAGCTTTACATATGCAACACTTTCCATAGCCTTTACAGACATACATGAAACAAGGATTGATGTGCTGTGCATATCCATTTACTTTCTGTCCTTTGGAAAGCAGTGATGTTCATATGATCATGGCATTTTAAGCACAAACGTATTGATTTTGTCATTAGATAACTTTGTTTAGTGAAACGCGTAATCTTAAATAACAGCCAAGCTGTTATTTGATGTGGGAGTAATTTGTAAAGCCAAGGTTAATGTGTCCATTCTTGCCATGATCACAGAAAATATGAAGATTTTCTTTTTATTTTGTCTCCCTGTCTTTGAGGTCATATAATCCTCTTTAGGGTCTCTCCATGCTCTCTCTCTACAGATGACTCAATTACAGAATTGTTACTCTGTAACACTATATTTTTTTCAGGAAAAGCTGTTTAAAAGCCAAACCAAATGGGCAACTGTTACAGTTAAAAAGCTAAATGCTTTCTTTGAATTAGCAAAATAAGCACAATGATATGGAACATAACAGCAAAGGTTTATGTTCAGATTTCTATAATCTAGACATTTTGCCATTGTAATACTTGTGGACTATTGACATAATAGCTTAATGCATAGAAAAATCTCCTAAGCTGTTTGAGTCTTTATGAAAACACACATGCTGGCACCAATGATGTGCTGTCCATGCTGCTATAAAGTCTGACTTGTAATGATTTGTCATTATGCCAATTACTGACACTTGCAGTCAGTAGTAAAATGTTATACAGTACTTGAAGTAAGGAAAGATCTAATGTGTATTCAGAACATTATAAGGCATTGATTTTAGAGGTCAGTTTAAACACAGGTATTGGATAATCCTTCTACCACAAGTAGAAAACACAGCTGTTTTTTTTTTTGATTGGTGATTCACGTTCATAAATTTGTCAAAGAATAAGTTGTGTAACAAACATAAAATATATAACAAGTGAATTTTCAGCCAGAATTTTTCAACAGAAAGCAAACTGAAGAATTACATAAAAGAGGGCAGTATCAAACATTAAATGTGAGCTAAAATCTGCTAAATGGTACAAGCATACAAGTCCTATGGGGATGATGTGGAAAATGTTTCAGTAACGTTCAGTTGTCGGAGTTTATATAATGGAGTATCAGATTTTACATTGTGTGAATTATCATTCAAGTTTAAAAATACTGAACTTATGACAATTCTATTTTTAATTTTTTTGTTCTTATTTGTAATTATCTCTTCCTTTAAAAACTTCAATTTCTAAAATGTATTCTAATGTAATAGATACAGTACTTACAGTAGCTAAGATACTTAATTTGACTACAACTGTGTAAATCTTCTGTACATTTTTCAACAGGGAGAAGAAATAAGGGAAGGTATTTATATATTGTAGATCATTAATTATAGTTAAATGTATTAATCTAGAAACATAATAATGTCCAAGCCTCAGAAGTATAGCTGGAGGAAATGTGGAATCACTGAAGTGATCCAGTTCTGAGAAATTGAAATTATTCTTAAAGTTGCGATTGAGTAATCACAGTGGGAGCACGAAACAGTTATTACCACAAAATAATGGCATGTACCAAGGTCAAGCTATAAGATCAATATAAGCTTTTTCATTCATTCTGTGCAAGATTTTAGTACTGCAATTGACACAATTACATAAAGTCATCTGTTCTATATTTGCAGTATTTTTACAAAGTTGTTTGTATTTCATTACAAGTGGATGGTATACAGTAATTATCAGATATGATATTTGTCTGCCTGCCTGCATTATCAATTAACCGACTAATGACTGCTTCTATTCATCAGTACCTTCCAGTTTTTATTGTCTTCACTTCCAGTGTTTTACAGTTTTGAACTTAGTCTTCAAACTCACACATGATCCCTGCTAAGCCCTCTTGGGCCTCTTGAGCCTCATCCATTTTTAAGTGAGAGGGTGTTATCGTGCAGTTTTGGAAGACCAGTGTAAATGACATGAGAACAAAAGATCACAAGAAAGGTTATATAAAAAAAGAAGCCCTACAGGACATTATATGAGCTACAGTATGTTGTGGCTGGAGGTTTAGTTATCATGAACAGCAGTTTTTGAAGAATGTGAAACTTATAAATGTCCAGATATAGTGCTCCACTTTTAAAAAATCAGGTGTTTGTTACTGGTCTGTTTATTGCATCTCCTCACAAAGAAATAACAATTTTACAATGCAAGGCTTTCCAATAAAGTATACTTAATAACCAGTGGGGACTTTCAGATATACTCTCCATTGAGAATGTAATTCTAAGTGATGCTGTATTTCTTTTGACAGATTCCCAGACAGCAAATGAGCTGTGACAGAGAGCAACTAAGGGTAAGTTTTTTCTTCTTTTTTTTTTGCATTAAATGTTTGCTTTTGCCAAGGGGTATATAAACCCAAGCCGCAGTAAAAGGGGCCAGCTTGGGTTCAAGGCTGACCATGAGCACACCGTCACGTTTATTTAAAGTACTGAATATGCTATTGTTAGTGACATCCACAGTGCTGTTTTTCAGGCCACTAAGTGCTACGAGGTGGCCCTGAATTCGAGGAAAGATGTTGTGCTTTCTTTGATTTTAAAACAATGTTGCTAAGGTTTGTAGCTCAGCAGTTTCTATAAAATAAGCAAATGTTTTTAAGTCAAACATGCGCACTGAAAACTTATATCTGCAAAAACAGCATGCTCGAGGTTTTCACTACGTCTGCATTCCGAATGGTTTTGGTTTTGTGCAGGAATTTTTTTCTAGATCTTTTTGAAGTAATTACCAGGGTCTTTGAAATCTTTTACAAATGCATATTGATAGGTGCCCTCTATGCAGCTGGTGTGGGTTTGAGTTTGGAATCTGCAGATGGCGGCTGGGACTAGGCTTTGATTTGACTCCTGACCCAGTGTTGGCTTGATAGTGAGGAGCTGTGGTTTTTACACCAGCGATGAATGTTAAAATGTTTGTGGAAGGAACTGGGTTTTTCTCATTAGGGCTGATTTAACAGCCCCAGAAAGAATGATACCAACTTTCTTAATTCTCTTGGTGAACAACTTCGGAAGACGCCCACCAGGGTAAGAGTTAGTGCTCCAGGGTATGGAATCTGCTCAGGTGGTATAACTGGGTACAACTCGCAATCAGTGGGGTCCTGAGATCACACTGTTCCTGCTGTTGCAGTGTGCAGACAGCTCTGCTCACAGAATCAAGATCACAGCTCGAGCGATGATGAGGCTTGTGTGTAAATAGGGTGCACTGTATAATGTTCCTATGCATTTATTGTTGCATGCTCTTCCTGAAGGACTGCGGGCTTTATTTTAACTTATGCTGTAAACGTTTCATCTGTACTTTTTAAAATCTCCATCTGCTTTCTTTGTGTGACACACTAATACGGACTCACATGCTTGTCAATATGTCTTTGTTCCCTTTTAGAAATGATGCAGCAAATCTTTTTCTCTGTAAAGTATAACCGTAATCCAAACATGTCTGGTGGGAGCAAAATGCATAAAAAAGAAACACTGAAGTGTTTTTTTTTCTTTTTTACTTGAATAGTGGATTTCGATGAAGCAAGGCAGGGCTGTTTCCAATATCCTTTAAAATTTAAATCACCCAGCAATTACTACATCTTATTGCTACTTTTAGTGTAGGATAGATCTACGATTTCAGAGTGTGCAGGTTAATTTGTTTAAGAAGTGATCAATATCGGGTAGAGCTAAATTGCATCTTTATACATATTTGTAATTTAATAAATGGTTTATTTTAAAATCTTTAAACTGGCATCAGTGCATGGTAACTTATTTAGGGGCTAAAATGATTAATGCCCTGATGTATCAATTCGTGCAATGCCATCTAAACAGTTGCTCCTGCATCTGTTGGCTTGTTTGTTTTTAATTCAGCTCAATGAGGATAGTTGTATAAATGTTGCAAGGAAACAGATGGATGTGGCACTCTGAGCATTACCGTAGATGTGATATCATGGGCAGCTTTTGGATTCAAAGGTTTTGAAGCATCAGTTGGTTATTGCTTCGTTAACTATATGCAATCCGGCATGCTCCCTGATGACCTAAAACCATTTCTTCTGGTGATGCATCTTGTTTCAGATTTTTCTTCAATTCATGTCTGTTCAGTCTAGGGGCTACGTGCAATTCTTCTTTTTTGTTAACATGTGTTAAGGTGCAGGTGCGGGATTTGTCTCCGGTGACAGTGCTAAATATGCTCAAGAAGTATAAAGTATATGGTGCTTTGAAACCTATCTACGGTATGAAATCTCAGTATCAGAAAATGCTAAAGCAAAGCAATTTGACAGCAGTATGTTTTAAGGTTTGCAGTACAAGCAAGGTACTGACAGCAGAGCAAAAGGGAAGTCAGGTGACCGTTCTGGTTTGTGTAGAAACTCAATTTTGCCTCACTATGATTACTTTTTCAAAAAAACTCATACCTCCTAAGTTTAGAATGAATTAATCCAGCACTTGTTCTGATGATGAGCCAAGTTAAATTTATACAAGTTAAATCTAAATTAAAATAGGCTTTTATCTATATTGTACAAGGCTTAAGTAAAGTGAAACCATCTAAAAAACTTCGGCATTTAATATCATTAGCCCGCACTGTCCACTGCGCTGTTACTGAAGCTCCTGTTTTTTCTCCGGATAAATTCACTGCAGTGTGAACTGTATCAAGTGATTCATCAACAGCAGTCGCCATTTGCTGGAGTACTGCTGTTTGCAGATAACTATTGTTGAAATTCAAATGGTCATCATCTGCAGTATTACGTGAACACTTGTTTTTCACTGGGAGTTAATGCCTGTATCTATTAATAAGCAAAAAAAGGGAAAAGTGTAGTTTGGCACACATATCTAGATAATTTATTATGCTCTAATGTGGGTTATTCACACCAGAGGCAAGGTTACTTAGCAGTGATATATGACAAAATATGAGATAAACACTATCCATCTTTCATAAAATAGGACTAGGAGAAGGTAGGGAAAACTGGTTCAGGCAAAGGAAGCCAGATGTAAGCTCTATTAAATGTCGGCCAGGACAGGAACATCTGGAACACCACTTTTTATGAGAGCATAACCATTGAGTTAGCAATGAGTACAACACCAAGAGTTTGTGTTTGCCATCCTGCGATATTAAGTGTCCTTCAAAATGACACATATTGAACTTGTTGATAAAGCTCTCAAGGGTTTAAGCTTTGCAGAATTTTTTTAGTGTTTTTAAGCTTGTTAAAATGGAAGTCTGGGGCATATAATCAGTCCTTCTTTTTGTGGTTGAACTTAAGAAAATGAAGTTCAACCACAAAAAGTTACAAATGGAAGGCATTTAAAGTTGTGTCATTTTTTAATATTATTTGTGAAAATGAAAGACAAAATCATTAGCTGTATCTGAAAAGAGTGGAGAGCAGGTTGTCTCTCACTGATGATGTCACAGAGAGCTCTGCAGTGCCTGACAGGTGAAGCAGCAGTGAGTGGAGGAGAAGGTCGTCTCTCACTGATGATGTCATCGCCAGTTCCTCACTGCCTGACAGCTGAAGCAGCAGAGAGTGGAGGAGCGGGTCATTTCTCAAAGATGCCATTGTGAGCCTGCAGGCTGCAGGAATTGCTGTTGTGCTTAATGAGGATAATTTTTTCAGCCCTATCTTTCCCTATTTGTGTGAACAGTTTGGGAGATTCTGGTCATGACTGGCTGGTGACAGGACCCAGGCTCATCCTACTGATCTCAGACCAGTAATAACAACTGAGCCCCATACCGATTGAGCCATTCAGGAGCCCTGCTGTATAGTTCTAAGAAAAATCTTTTAATAACAACAAAATAAACTTCTGCCATTTATTTTGTTGTATTATATTGTTTATGTTTCCCATTGTAGCTTTAAATATTTGATGTTATTTATATTTGTTCTGCGTATGGAAGTCTGTTGTGTTTGCTGACTCAATAAAATCTTAGCCCTTGGAAAGAGGGTTTAAATATTTTAACATGACTTGTCTGTTGAGGCCATTTTTTATTAAATTGTTAACTACTGTAATTATTAGGTATTGATATTATTGCCACATTTCAATTTACTTCTGAGAGGCAGTAAAATAATGTAAGACGCATCATTTTACTTAATCTGTCTAACAAACCCTCTGATGATGTTTAATAATTGTCATTACAAAATCTACCTGTGTGTGAAACTTGTCATGTTTTGAAAAAATAAAAAAATATTAATAAATATTATTTGTACAACAAAGATGCACAAAATATTTGTTAATATTCCAAATCTTTGGCATATGTTGCATACAATGTTTTGCATATCTGTATCTGCATATATAGGTACCCTACATTTACCAAGGCTAACATAATTATTTATAACTACTACCAATGATAATGATAATAATCCCGATGCATCAAACTATCATCCTTACATACAGTATGTAATCCCTAAAAAGCATTGTTACTGTTCTGTTTGTGGAATTTTAATACAGTAGTTCAACACCTTAAAAAATCAAATTATTTCTGTTCTCAATTTTCTCATTGCTGACAATGCAGAATTAAGTGAATCTATTTAATATTACAATTTTTTTAAATCAGTCCGCTGTAAAAGAAAAAAGGAAAACTGAAAATGTCTAAAATATTACTTTCATGTGGTGGACTCTGAGCTGGGTTAAATCAAGTATTATTATACTGTCCCTAAAGTATATAGTATTTAAAGTATATTGACACATAAGGAGGTCCTATTCAAAAGCCCTTTTAATTTTAAGGAATGCACATTTCTAATTTTAAAGAGCATAGTGATGTAAAGTATTTATTGTTGTGCCACCTCAACCTACCAAATGGGTTTATAAAGCCTGCATTTATTTATAGGGACTACCCTTTTCAATATTTTTTATTCATGAATGAATAAATGCATGAACATTGTGTACATGTGCATTTGATCAAATAAAAAACTCTAAATCATAACTTCAGCTCATATGCAAATTAAAGATGACAAACTCTGAGCTGGGTGGCAGATTGTCATCAGTAGAGATTTCATCTCTTTACCCATCTGCAATTACAGGATCAGTGGTTTGCTATTGTTCTAACCAACTGATTTTATATTTAATCCCGACTTCAGTATGTTTGATAATGAGCATAATACTATATATAAGTTTGAATCTATTATATGCTTTTGTGCTTAATATTTGCACGCACGGCAGTCTCAATATTCATAACATATCTGAAAAAATGTGTCCTGGGCAACACCAGGAAACAAAGATTGTAGTGTCTTGTGCCCCGGACAAGCTGCAGTGCAGTACATCATGTCTTATTTTAGACTTTCCTTTATTTAATTTTGCTTTAACAGGGCTGGAAAGAGAGATGTTAATTAAAACCTGTTTAAAT